CTATTTTTACCTATCCTCTCTGCAAAAGTTATCAAAACTACTTTATTATATCGAAAGTATTTTTTAGATCTAGAACTTCACGAATATGTAACTGACTTATAATTAGACATACGACTGCCAAGTTTCATGAATCTGACTTTCTTATGTTTTGGAATATATAAAATTTGCTTTTGGACTTGTATGGCAGCCACCAGAACTGGTGCAGGAATCCCATTAAATTAATTGGACATACGTATACAAAATTTAACATTTATACCTTTATTACTTTTTTGAAGTATTTATAATAAACTCTTTGAGTTGTATGGCAGCCACCTGAACCCGTTGTCCGAATTGGTCCGATTCCAATAAGGTCCAATTACAATTAGGATTCCTTGACTTTAAAAGGGCGGACATGTCTAAATCAACGTAGAATTTTACGCTGAGCAAGAATTTTGTGTATATACATATCCATATCGTAGTTGACTCCTTCAAGTGGTTACAAATTCGATACCAAAGATAATATACCCTTCTCGAATGTGCGGGGTATAAAAATAGTTTAGAAAATAGTTATAAACTAGATTCCAAATGTAATGTGTTGTTCCTCTTAAATAAACTAAAGTTTCATTCGGATTTTAATGTTAACGGCAATTTATTAAAGGACTTTAAACATGCATAGAGACAATTCAACTTCTTCCTTCCCGTTCTAAATAGACTCAGATAATAGTTTAATTTATTTCTTGTATTGTACATATGTATGTACGTCTATGCTTCTAGTTAAAATTTCGTTTAATTAGAATATTTATGATTTTGAAGACCAAGAGGTATATTTCTTTCCTAGAAATAAATTTTAAACTACGATACTTCGCCGAATAAAAATTATCGGTCGGATGCAATACTGGGTAACCATGAATTAATTTAAAAGCCGTTCAACGCCCTTCTTTTCCATATTGGATTCAAATATATAATATTGGAATAAATATAAGACGAAAATACTACGACAATAATTTTCTATCCAATAATTTTCTTAACCTATTCAAAATGAAAATGTAAGAAACTATTTTTCTTCAAATCTGGTCAATATGGTCCACCTATATAAGGTTATTATTACCCACCAAACCCAAGTAATTAAACTTCGTAACACTTTCAATTATATGATTTCCATACAAGAAAGTTGATGAAGAACAAATTGGTTTCCCCAAGTTCAAAAGCTATTTGTTCTTCATCAGCCAGTAATCCACAGTTGCCAGATCCTCAAAGATAGCTGCTTTTAGTTCCACTTTGCTTGTGGCTGAATTACTTAAGACCGCGTCATCTGCATATAATTATAAAGCTCTCCTGAGATTCATGCGGGCCAAGTAATTTATCTAGATCAAGAATAAATCCGGCCCCAAAATAGACCCTTGTGGAACGCCATTACTTATGCGAGTACTGCTACAAAATTCTCCTATTTTAACACTTACCGCCCGGCCAGTTAAGTTTCGAAAAATTTAATCGCCTGAGTACGAAATGCCCTATTTCTGAGCTTAAGAAGTAATATGTCGTGGTCCTCACAGTCAAATGCCTTTCGAAAATCAATAAACGTTCATACGGTATAATCACCCCAATTGCTGTTTTGAATATAAAATTGGTAAGCGGAAGGTACGCCGCAGTAATGTTCGAGTTTTTTTCGAAGCCATATTACTTGGGATATTACATTTTATTTTCAGCAAGGAATTTCGCCAATCTATTCATTACTCATCAAATAGCTTAATATTCATACTACGATACATAATATTATATAAACCAAAGCATTATATAAGCCAGTTATTTCCACAAAAAGCTTATAATATTTTCATAATTTTTCAAAATATTTTATTTTTTTTTTGTTTTTTAAGTCTATTAGGAGTTAAGTACATACCACATAACGTATTTTCTGATTTCAGAAATTCCAATAAAACTTTACTTTGTTGTTACTATATTAACTTCGTTTCGTAAAAACGGCCACGTGGAATACCGTTGGAAAGGTTTCGGTGTGCTTTAAATTTATTAAATTAAAATGTGGTTAACTTTTGTTCAATTCAATATTTAACCGAAAATAGGAATGCTCAAAAAATTTTTACTTTTCACAGTTATGCCCTTTAATCGACTTTCTCCCTATATCTAGAGAAAATTTTGAAATTTTAATTGCAAAAAATGACAACCAAATGGCTAAAGAAATCTGGCCATTTCTAGTGACTTTTCTTCTTGTTTCTTGCAGTAAAATAGTTCCTGTTTTCCATTTACATGTGCAAACTATTCTTCTAAATTTTATATCAATATAGGGAATTTCTGAATAAAATATATTGACTTTTTTCTGTGACGGTATTATTGACTTTGCTGTCTTATTTTTTAGTTTACTACAAACTTATTATGTTTGTGCGCTCTTCTATTTGTATACAAACATAAGTTATCGTATTTGTTATTTTATGTGAGTAGAAAATTTGCGACTTTACATGTTTTTTATTATTCGATATTTACCTATATGAACTCATATATGATATATGTACATACGTATAAACATACAACACATACCTGCTTAGGGAATTGGCATCGGAGAACAGAGTGATGCTCATTTGGGTGCCGGGCCATAGTGGTCATGCGGGAAACGAAGTTGCCGATGATTTGGCGCGGAGGGGATCTGGGGCTGCCTTTCTGCGGTCTGCCTTCTTCCGCCGTGGGGGCCAGGCTTGCATGCCTACTAGCGGCGGAATGCGGCCGTCACTGGCGGGACACGAAAGGGTGCCGTCATGCGAAAGTGTTTCTTCCGGCGTGCTCCGGCGGATTCGCCGCGGAGTTGCTGGGGATGGGCAGGAGCCGGGTTCGCACTATTGCGAATTTCTTCACGGGGCACTGCCCGGTGAAGTACCACCTGCATAAGCTGGGGAAGTCGGGCTCCCCCCTGTGCAGATTTTGTGGAGGTGGCGATGAGACCGCCGTGCACATTCTCTGCAACTGTCCGGCACTAGCTGTTCGGCGCCGCAATTGTCTTGGACATGGGTCCCTAAGTGTTCGGGAACTGTTGTCCAACTCCCTTAGGGATATCTCCGGCTTTGTGATTGGGACGGGGATATTATAGACGGGAGAGTGGGGTGGCTACAATAAGTCAAAAATGGCTGCGGTGGCTTGGGGGGATGCTCCTGTCCCACTCGGTTCCCTTAGAATCTACAAGCTACAATCTACAATCTACAATATAGGGAATTTCTGAATAAAATATATTGACTTTTTTCTGTGACGGTATTATTGACTTTGCTCTCTTATTTTTTAGTTTACTACAAACTTATTATGTTTGTGCGCTCTTCTATTTGTATACAAACATAAGTTATCGTATTTGTTATTTTATGTGAGTAGAAAATTTGCGACTTTACATGTTTTTTATTATTCGATATTTACCTATATGAACTCATATATGATATATGTACATACGTATAAACATACAACACATACCTATTGTGGAAATAATTTTTGTTCAAATAAGTTTTTATAAAATTTATTTTATTAAATATGTTTTTGGTTTTCTTCTAGTTCTGAACATGTTCTATGACTATAATAGAAAGGTATACTATTGCTTAAACTATTGCTTAAATTAATTTATTTAAAAGACGATTATGTTTTCCTTGAGAGTATTATGTACATTAGTACATACAAACATTCATTTTATACATGATAACACTCTTCCAAAATTATTTTTAAAAGACACGTTCTATTTTTAAAAATTTTACGTCAGGAACATATTTTTGGTATCTTGAAGTAAAAAGTAAATAAAATTATCGAAAAGGAATAATACTTTAATTGAAATTTTACTTTTGAGAGCTTTTTTCATTTAAGGCAAATTAGTTGTTATTGTTCAATACAATACAATTGATTTCATGGGTAGTATAATCTATATAACAAAAGTCGAAGTAATATAAATTAAATTCATAAATTTTAAACCTTTTTTTTTACTTATGTAGTACATGCATAAAGTGTATGTATCTTCGAAATCATTAAATAAAAGTTGTACGATTTTGTCAAAATCACATAAATTAAAATAGCAATTTAATTTTTGATACGTACGTTGTATCGTTTTCTTTTTTTTACTTTTTTTTACAATAAATTATTAATTTATTGATAAAATTATTAAGAATAGAGGCATAGAAATATTTTTGGATGCATACTTTTATACAGATATTTCAGTATGTATGCATTTACAAGGTAGCGGTCTCAATATCAAGTGAATTCCGAACATAATACATTACATCGTCAAATTTTTTTGTTTTCAGAAGATAATACAATATGTCTTATATGTCTATATTCAATTTCCAAGATATTCAAACTGTTTTCTAGCTACAAATTTAAATATCATGTAATATTATTGTAGTATGTACATTTCACAACTTTCTTCTAATTCTTAGTGCTAACTTTTCCATATATGTACATACGTATGTAAATATGTATGTAATTTTCTACAAAAAATAATAGTGTGTTATGTAATTAAACATTTTGCATTCTATTGAAGTTTTTGCTTATCAGAGAAATAAATAAAATAGATAAATAAGACAAATGAAGCAGTCGGACCAAATATTTTTTTCTAAAATATTGACTTATGTAATAATTTTTATATTTAATAAGTTAATTATACATGTGCAAGTATGTATGTATAAAATGTATGAAAATCGGGGGTTCTCTTCTCTTTTATTTAGTTTAGAGAAAAAAAATTGAATCAATAATATCCAATTTTTATGGAAACTGTTTAAAACATACAAGTTCATAAAACTGGACATGCATTTTTTCTAGAAATTCAAGTCCTCTTAGATCGTTTAATTGGTTTTGAAGAAAACATGTAGCATATTGTTCCGAATACAATGTTTCCAAATGGTATATAAGCATCTTCTCTTCGCAAACACATATATGTATGTATACATAGAATAATTTCAGGTTTCAGATATTATCATAACATAACAAAAATTTTAAAAACTCGTTAACAAGTAGCAACAATTTTTCAACAAGCATGTATATCATTTTAGGACGAGACTCTTCGAAAAGTGATTCAAGATTCGAAACTCAATTAAATAATGTAGAGGAAGAAAGTCGTAGGAGTAGATCATTAGATAGTGATATGATGATTTCTCAAATGTCAACGTCAGTGGTATGTTTATTTAATTGTATTTAAAACTATTCAAATCATTTGTTCAATTCATGCTTTCAAAATACTTTCGTAGGTAAAAAGTAAGACTCCATGGACTAAAGTTAAAAATATGATTCAAACACATAGTGCGTCTTTCAAAACTACACGTTCCCGTAGCATTAAGTCTAGTAATAGTGCGGGAAAAGATAGCCGTGATGTTAGCCCATCCGAATTTAATATAGATAGTTTGCAATTCCTATTAAACGAATCACCAACGCAAAAACAAAATTGTGAAAATATTTTGTCACCATCTAGTTCATCAACAACAGCGAATTCACAAAAGTGTAATTCAAGTGGCCCAAACAGTCCAGTCATAATATCAGGGCTAGGACTAAACGATTCTGTAGGAGGATATGAACAAAGTAATGAAATTAAATCAAAAATGTTATCGAATAAATCATTACGAAGAAATAAAAATATTTCTGGATTTGAATCATTACCTGAAGGAGCGACTATTGACATAAAATTATCAAATCAACCAAAACCGAATCCACTGATTTTAAACTCTAAAATGGTATTAAAGAAAAAATAAATATTGTAATATATTCTTTTGCAAGCACTTAATTAAGGCTTAAAACTGTTTTTTTTTTTTAGTTGGCAAACGAGGTTGAGTTTAGTGACATTTGTTATTTTCCAATAATCGGCCAAAAAATTTCAAGTACCTCTTCAAATAGGAAACACTTAATGTCAGTTGGTAATTCTTCCGTTCCTAGCAGTCCATCTAGGCATTCAGAATTTTTTCCAGAATTCGGTAAGAAATTTCATCTTTTAAAAGTTATTGAATGTTCGAGAAACTTTACGACAAATGGCAGTTTGTAAAAGGCTGTTTTAGATAAGCAACAGTTGTTAGAACTGTTGGTTAAAATTAATGATTGGAGCTTAAAAATTTGTTTTAGGATATTTTCTTATGCTTTTTCAGAAAGTGAAGATATGTCAAGCGGGGATTTCTCTGAACCAACTACACCATCAAGAAAATTATCGGATCGTTTATATTATCAGTTGCAACGAGATGAAATTAATGAAAGATATTTAGAGCTTAAAGAAAAACTTAACAAAGAGTTTGAAGCGAAACGTCAAGAATGGGAGAAAATTCGATTTTCATGTTCATCGAGCTCGTCCTCAGGTCTTCTAAAAAATATTTTTATATAATTTTACCATTCTTTTCTCAATTTATTTACAGCTTATCAGTTACTTCAAAGTAATGATTTACTGCAAACAAATAAAAACATCCCACCAAAGTTCTTAGAAGAGAATTTGTCAGCAGATTTTAAAAAAAAGCTACATAAATGGAGAAACAAGGTAGTAATATTCGTACCTATTGCAAATCTGCATAATATCTCCCCTTTTTTTTAGAAACCGGAAACTACTTCATTAGTAACAAGAGATAATTTCACTTCTCCTTTAAAAGGCGAAAAAATTGATTGGAACTTGTGGAAAACTGGACAGTTAAAACTAGAAGGGCAAGGTTTGTCACCATTGCCTGATCAAAAATCATTACCAGAAGAGTTTCAAAAAAAATTAGGTATTACAAACACTTGGAAAGTAGTTTGTTCTAAGATTAAATTTATTACGAACTATTATTTACTCGTTTAGAAAGATATTTATTAGGTTATTTAGAGCTTCTTTTTTATATTGATTTAAAATACTGAAATAAAATATTTCAGTATGTAAAATGTTTACAATGTCTCTAGAATTCGCTGTTAACTTTTTTTTTTAATAAATTCGAGTTTTAAATTTATGATTTAAATTTTCTTTTATGCTTAGATTAGTTATTACTTATAGACGGAAATTAATACATTGCTAAAAAACTAAATAAATATACAAACAAATAAATAAACAAATATAACCTCTAAGCTTAACATCTGTAATAATAGCATTGATTTCCCCAACTACTTTTCTTATTAGAATATTGTACGATATATTTTATAATTGTAAAAAAACAATTCATGATTGGCTTTAATATAATTGCTATGAATTGGAATATTTTGTTATACATACTGATATAAAATTCTATAACAAAAAAAATTAGATTGTGTATGTAATTAGTGAAATACATAATTTTTTTTTAATAAATATGTTTCTTGTTATAATAATCTAAATCCATTTAGTACAAACAGGAAACAACCTTAATACTTACTATTTATTACTTTAGATCAATGGAAGAAAATTAAAGATGCTAGCACAAATTCAAATTCTCACATTGATACTCAAAGTTCGTTGAGAAGGTCATCTGGAAAATTCGGAATCGGAAAAACCCACGAAACACCGAAAAAGTCAAAAGATGATGCAAAATTTGATAAAGAGAAATTCCGTCTAGATAAAGAAAAATTTAATAAAAGTTATGAGAAAGAGAAATCCGAAAAGTAAAACAATAAGTTTTTCGACCTACAAACTAAAACAAACTTATCAAACTAAAATGCATATACTTGTATTCTTAAAAATTTTCAGGCTTTTAAAATTGCGGGCAATTGTAACAGAGCCTAGAGCTAAGGAAATTGAAGTACAAACTTCAGTAGGAGTCATGAAATTTGAAGGTATTTCTAGAAAGTTTACAAGGAAGCTTTACGAATGGGAAAAAGCTAAAGGAATTGGACCAGAGTCATCAACATTTGCCTTTTTATATCCTGGATATAGGTCAGTTATTTCCGGAAAAAAATCCGCCGAACGTCGATCAAGTAAGTTAATGAATTATGTATTTAAATAATGAATTGGAAGTGGAATATTTCGAATTTTAGATGAACCTTCTCCTAATTTGGGCAGGTCACTTTCCCTCGATAGTATATCTCCAATACAATCGGTTCCGTCAGCATCTCATCAAACGTCTTGCCTATCTTTAAATGATGCTGATGAATTCCGGATTGATGCATCTTTACCAGAGCAAACTCGGAGAATTTCTTCAGATATTGAGCTTTGTGAAAATAATTCTTTTGAGAAGAATATGGAAGATCTTAGGAATCCTCTCGGACTGTCGTGTATAGAACCATGTCTATTCAGTACCCCTAAGGATTTGTAATTTACCTGAAAGTGTAAGTTTTTGTAAGATGTATATCTATATAAATATCTTTTAGCTTAATAAGTGCGGAACAAAACAAAAAAATTGGAGCGCATAATTTAACTCTAAATAAATTTGAGGAAGCTATTGAAGCCTTAAAGTTGATCGAAAATAAATCACTAGATAATTTACAAAACGCTTTAAGAATCCTTAACGAGTTGGAAAATTCTATTCCGGATTTTGAAGATGCTCTTGGGAGACTTAACAGTGAGGGCAAAGAGGCTATGGCTCGCGTTAGAAAGCACGTTACAGAATTAAAAAATCAGGTAGCGTTGAAAAAATTTTTGCTTATTTGCAAAATATTGGTTTCTTATGATATATGCATACACTTTTTTTATGTGTAGTGCCACCAGTTGGACCAAGACGAAGCTTGCTGCCAAGAATTATTAGACGAGCGGATGGATGCAATCGCAGAAATACTCTATAATCTAAAACAAAACATTATTTTAGTTTCCAATTGCGCACGTAAGTTTTAGAAAGAACTTAATGTAGTTTTGTATACCAAATTGAATTACATTTTTAGAAATGATATCTTCTGAGCTATTCATACCTAAAATAAACATTACATCTGAAGACGGATGTAAAATGGTTGATTCTCGCAGTTCTAATACACCATTAAAAAATATTTCAAAATATGAGAAATATAATGAAACAGATATCAACGAAAAAGAATGTGCCACGCAAATCCCAACACAAAATATTGAATTCGTAAATGTCAGTGCAAAAACAGCAATAGAACCAACCTTTGATTCAAAAAATAAAATTTGTCGTAATTCAAGTAACGGTAGTCGCAAAAAATCTCGCTTAAGGAAAATGGGATCCCGTCAAAATAGTAAAACTGAAAGTGAGAGTACAGATGACGAGGCAGTTAACAGTAATGAAGTAGCTCAACGTCGACTAAAACGAAGATTAAGTAGAAATAAAAAATCTATTGAAGAGGACAAATTTGAACTTGATATAAATGAAAATATAACTACCAATAATATCATCCAAAGTAACAAATATTTCCCCACACCAGGGGGCGAAGACGTAGTTTATGTTCTTAAAATTAAACCTGGACAACCCATAGAGCAGTCGGAAGTATTTTGCAATTATGACGGTGAGTCTTCCAAAATTTTGATATCTCCCACTGAAACATCGGTTCAATTATTGAACAGCAAATCTCAAGAAAATGTGGAACTTGAACAACAAAATATTTTTGTCAAAACTAAAAGGAAAATTTTCACTTTAGTGGGTAGACAAGCTTCTGAAACGGGAAGTGATAGTGGAATTGGTCCATTAGCTGTGTCAAGGGACTTAGACTCTTCCACAACTACAGAAGTACCCGAAACTGAAGATTCATGTCGAGATTCTATTAGTCTCAATAGCTTTTCAAAACCATACAGAAAAAAATTAGAACCCCCCATTTCGATAAAAAAGGACTTAAATTCTTCTGAAAAATCGACTTTTGCTTTACATTCATCAAAAGAACCAGGTCTTTCTGTTAAAGCAATGATTGATGACTGTAATCAAAAGTTGGAGACAAAAGCAATAAGTAAATCTCCTTTGAGTTCCGGAACTTGTACGCCTTCAAGTATTCGATCACCACTTTTAGAGCGCAAGCTTACTAAAAGTCAGACTGACATATTTAATCCAAGTACTGAAAACATAACTAAATCCGCAAGTTTTGGAAGTATTGTCTATAAACAAGTAATCAAAGAAGAAATATCTTCACAGCTCGAAGATAGGGTATGTCGTATTTCAAAATCTTTCAGTTTAGAAAATATCGCTAAAAAAATATGTAATGAAATGCATTCGCCTAACATAGAACCACTTGCTTATGATAGTTTAAAAAATATAAAAAAAGGCTCAGAGGCAATTAACAACCCGAAACTTGAAATGAAGTCCAAAGAACATTTGTTTAAAAAAAATAAGGAAAAACCAATTAATTTAAATGTTACCAAAGGAGGTGCACTAAGGAAAATTGATTTAAAACAAAAACTTGAACAAATAACGAGACGAAATAGCTCAACAAGCGAAAGTGGGGATATAGTCATAGAAAGTTTTAATAGCTTCAACAAATCTGACAATACAATTCCCAAAATAACTAGAAAACTTGAAAATAAAGCTACAACGCCAACAGAAAAATCACACCCTTTGTGTGCTGAGTTGTGGCATCCTTTGCTACCAATTTCAAATAAAAATTATTTTGACCAAATTGAGTGCCCGACAACTCCGATAAATGAAAGAGCAGTAAAATTAGCTCTTGCTAAAGAAAGGTTTTTGAAAGAAATTCCAAAAAGAACTGCATCATTTAAAGAAAGTTTCGATACCGAGAATGTTAATCCACGTTTTAGTCAAACAAGTTTCGAAAGCGAATTTAGCAACGAAGCTTGGAAAAACTATAACGATGTATCAATGACCAAAGCAGTTTCAAACTCTTCTTTGGAAGTAATAAAAAACGATAACAATTGTAATCCATTACCTAGAAGTATTGTAAGATCAGAAAAATTTGCAAGTAAATTAGGATTCGCGACTTTAGCATCAAAGTTTCGTAAAAAGAAACGTGAAAATGAAGTTGAAACGATATCAAAAATGAGCACTGTTTCAGTTTTATGTCAACAAAGCTTAATGTTAGATGTTGCTCAGGTAAATAAGGGTTTCAAAACAAGAAAAGAAGCTACTGATTCGTTGAAAAATACAGGTAAGAATTATAATGTTATTAAATCTAAAAGTTCGCATGTTGGAAGTTTTGGTACGTTATTTAAGTCAAAAGATAAAAACAAAGGCCAAAAAAACGATCAAAAAGACAATGGCAATAACAAGGATAATATATTAAAATCCAAAAGCGCTATCTTATTCCCATTATCAAATGATAAATAGCGTTTTTTAATATTAAAATAAATACAATTTCTTATTTGAAAGTTTTTTGATTTTGTACGATAATAATAAAAATCAAATTGTAAATTTTATTTTAAAATAGCTTGACACATTTATGTGAATAAATGTTTTCATAAAAATAAATAATTAAATTGCAATTGAAAAAAAAATAATTATATTGCAAGCTTTCTAATAAAACATTAATGATGTATGTATGTGTGTATAAATAATATACGTTAGAAATTGACTTGAAAATTTAAGTCATCTGTAATTTATTTATTATTTCAATTTCTTCAAATTATCAATTGTGATAAAGACGAAGTATTACAAAAAGAAGTTGTGAAGTTTTGTTATAAATTAGCCAAAGCCAAATTAAACTATCAAAATATTTGAAAACTATGAAAAAGTTCTGAAAATTAACTAAAAATGAAATGTTAAATTTTTAAGGTTATGAATCTGCTTGTTAAATGTTTTTAAAAAAATAAATAAAACAAACAAATTTCAAATGTAATATTTTGTTTTATTTAAAAAAAATTACCGATGAACCTTTACAAATTTGTATTTTTACTTTTTTTTTACTTAGGACAAATGTTTTATTATCAAATGATGCAAATGATATTTCAAACCCAAATTTTGGATTCTAAAATTTTTTTAAGCAGTTTCACACACTTTCCAACACATTTCTGTTCACAAACTCTAGATTTATCTAGATTTATATAAACGATAATAAACTATTTATGCACCTGAACACGATGTTTGAATTAAATTTATCTTTTAAAATTTTCAAAATAGTATTATTAATTCATCCTATCTTAAACTTTTATTAACCTATTTTCTTTCATTTTTATAAAATATCCATTATTTTAAGTGCTACTTAAAGACGTGTAATTTTTAATATTTTTGTATAAAAGTTTGTTGATGGTCCGTGACTTCAATAATGCGCTTAAGACGTAAAATTTTACAAAGTATCAAATTCCAAAAAGTTTACTAAAAGCTCTTGACATTGTACACTTTTCCAAAATGCGTTTTATACGTAATGGAGACGTAAAATAAAAGTAAATCGGGTATCGAAAAAATCGAGCACGCTTTTCTTATACCTTGTCATATAAATGTTACCAGAAATAACCGATAAAATAAACTAACATATATTTTCAGCAATAAAGTGGTAGCTATCAAGTTTTTTCCAAAATAAAGCATAAGAATGCTATTTTTCCAGTGGTGTGGTAACGTTTGTTAGTTATACATATATAGTCATTTGTTATATTTCAAATTCATAAACAAAAAAGTTTTTTGAAAACATTCACGTATAAGTTACGAGTATACCCTTAATTCATTAAATGTAATCTTGATTTTGACATTTAATTTTTGCAGTAATAAGAAATGTATCTCTTTTGCTTTCTTAATGTTATAATTTGTTTAATTTTATTAAAAGTGCTGCAACTACTTGAACTGTTGCTACTATTAAAATCAATTGAATTATTTACAACAATATTTACGAACACATTCATTTTTTTAAAATTAACATTTGCACAGAACTTTAAATTAAAATTTTCAAACAAATGTCAAAGTTGTATTGATATGGTAAAAATTGTATTCCAAAATGTATCAAAAGCTTTAGTAGTTTTTTTTACAATGTAAAGGTATTGAAAGCTCTGAGACGGTACTAATACCGTATTAATACCGTACTTAAATCTTTTTTAAAGCATTATTGAAGTCACGGGGTTTTAGTTGAATACTCATTATTTTGTTCAATTATATGATTGTACTAAGTTGTTCGTCATATAAAAAAGAGGACATACAAATTCTAACTAGGCAAAATAATTCGAGTAATTCTAGGAGTCTATATAATTCTTATGAGATTTCTAATTGACCTTTATTCTTACAGGAGGCAGGTTTTTTAACAAGGTATGTTTCAAATATTACTTTAACGTTTAACAACATGTATTAAAACTTAAATACGGAGAACAACAAAAAAAAAGTTGTTTATCGTTGAAAAGTATAAAATTACTGCAATGCAATATTAATTTGTAATTGTACTATCTAAATTAACAATATTATGGAAAGAGAAATATCGCAGTTTTATAATTATAAGTTTATATTCTTTCCGTGTTATTTACGTAAATGAAGTAAATACACCTCGAATCCGGTACAAATAATATATTTTCCGTCACTATTTATGCCCGTAAGAACGTATGTTCGAAGGGTTTACTAAATTTGCCTTATAGTTTGTAACGCTAAGAAATAATGATTTGAGAAATAGACTCAATTGTATGTTTTTGATTAGCGTCGAATTCTGAGTCGATTTAGCTATGTTTCCGCCCGTCCGTCCGCCCCAACGATAACTCAAAGACTAAATGAGCTTAGTTCACCAAATTTTCACAAATGATTTATTATAGTAAATGCCAGAACCCTATTTAAATTGGATATGATTGGGGTACTTCTTCGGATAGCTGCTATACAACTTCAAAATTTATTGGGCTATATCTCAGAAACTATAAAAGCTGTGATATTGAAATTTCACACGAGCGAATATATTAGTAGGGCCAATGTGTTTGATAAAATTCGTTGAAATTGCTTGGGTCTTTATATTTTAGAAAATATTGAAAACATAGTACTGAAACTTTGCATAAATTAATATGGTAGTACGGCAACTTAAAGTCATAGTATGTCCCATAGTCAGCTATGGCATATTTATTATAGTAAATGCCAGAACCCTATTTAAATTGGATATGATTGGGGTACTTCTTCGGATAGCTGCCATACAACTTCAAAATTTATTTGGCTATATCTCAGAAACTATAAAAGCTGTGATATTGAAATTTCACACGAGCGAATATATTAGTAGGGCCAATGTGTTTGATAAAATGCGTTGAAATTGCTTGGCTCTTTATATTTTAGAAAATATTGAAAACACAGTACTGAAACTTTGCATAAATTAATATGGTAGTACGGCAACTTAAAGTCATAGTATGTCCCATAGTCAGCTATGGCATATTTATTAGCACATAGGATAATAAATTCGTATCACAGAGTTGACACGGTCAACTCTACTTTTTCTCGCTTTTTTATATAAATTGAATCTTCGACCAATACCTTAGCTGAGCTTTGGTCAAACATTCAAGCAATTTTTCTATAACGTTTGAAATACATATGTACTGCCACATCATTGTCATACATTCTTAGTTTGCGTTGATTTTTCTGAAGAATACCATACATTATAGTTAGAAATTACTTAAATTAGGAAATCTACAGCATGATAGGGCATCTACTGATGTTCTAGCTCATAGATTTATGAAGGATCACCTCGATATCGCCCTTATCCAAGAGCCTTACATAGTGAAGGATCAGGTTAAGGGCCTAACAGGTGAGCTATTGTATGATAATACAATTAGGGGCAGGCCTAGGGCTTGCATTTTGTTTAGTAAAAGGCTAACGTATTTTCCCATTCCAGATTACTGTTCTAAGGATCAAGTAGCTGCGTTGGTGAAGGTGAAGTCCTGCGGGGGCTGGACAGAGTTCATTGTGTGCTCATCCTACCTCCCGGGGGACTGTGCCCACCCGGACGAGCAACTAAAGGATCTAGTGGACTTTTGTGGAGGAACTTCCAACTTATAATAGGAAGTGATGCCAATGCCCACCGTCTGGGGAAGCAGCAACATAAACAAAAGAGGTGAGTGCCTACTTGAATTTATATATAGCAATAAATTAATGATTATGAATGAGGGCAATAGGCCGACATTCATAAATGCAATTAGGGAAGAGGTCCTTGACATCACCCTTTGTACTGAATTTATCGGCAGTAGGGTTGGTGGATGGCATGTCTCAAATGAGACATCCATGTCCGATCATAGGCAGATTAGGTTTGATATCATGGTCTCCGGGGGCCTGGCAGAAGAAATTTATCGGGTGACCCAATCCACAGATTGGAGTCAATTCGAAACGCTCCTCATGGATGGGATTGGATCCGTTCCTGCTTCTGTCAGAACGGTGATGAATATCGAACTGGCCAGCGAGGCCCTGACGGCGGCTATTACTAATGCCTATCACGGAGCTGCCGCGCTAAGCCGAGGGGGAGCAATAGGAAGTGCCCGTGGTGGAATGAAGAGCTTTCAAGGCTTAGACTAAAGACCAGAAAGCTATTCAATAAGGCCAAGGCGTCGGGTTCGTGGGAAGAGTATAAGGACTCACTCACAAAATACAATGAAGAAATTAGGAAAGCGAAGAGAATCTCGTGGAGGGCGTTCTGCAAGGGCATTGATGAACTCTCCAGCAGTGCGCGTCTCCACAGGGTGTTTTCCAAAAAGTATGCTAGCGGTTTGGGCCTAATCGAACGTCCTGATGGCTCCAAGACTGAGAACGGAAAGCAGACGTTTGAGCTTATGGCGTCAACGCACTTTCCTGACTCGGAGATTCTTTGGAATCACTCAGATGCGGTCATCGAACCGAGGGCATCCTGGCCCAGGAGGGATGACTGGCAACGATCCCGTCTAGTCTTCACGATGGGCAGGATTAGATGGGCTGTCTTCTCTTTCAGGCCCTTCAAATCTCCAGGTGATGACGGGATATATCCTGCATTTTTGCAGAGGGGTTTCCAACATATCGCTAGAGCACTGTTGGAAATCTTTCGTGCCAGCTATGCGTGGGGTTACATCCCTGAGGCATGGAGGGTGGCTAAAGTGACGTATATTCCGAAGGTGGGTAAGCGACCAAGCAACCACCCAAGGTCTTTCCGTCCAATCAGCCTTACTTCTTTTCTATTGAAAGCAATGGAAAAAGTGATTGATAGATTTATACGGGACGGTGCACTGGGAAGCAATCCCTTGCATGAATCTCAGTACGCCTATCAGTCGGGAAGGTCTACTGCACTCGCTCTGCAGAGTCTGGTGGGGGTCCTTGAAAACTCACTGGAAGTGCGGGAGGTGGCAGTTGGCTGCTTCCTTGATATAGAGGGAGCTTTTGACAACACCCCATATCATGTCATCTGTGAGTCGTTGCATAAACGAGGGATTGATGCGACGACTAGCAGATGGGTTAATCGGATGCTACAGGATAGGATTATTAAGTCCACCATAGCTGACGATATACTCTTCATCTCCGCTGCAAAAGGATGTCCGCAGGGCGGGGTTCTTTCGTAGATTGGATGATCTAATCGCTGCTCTCAGGGGCTCCGGGGCGCGTGTCTGGGGATACGCCGACGATGTGGCCTTCGTCGTGCGGGGAAAATTTGAAAGCACTATTTCTGATCTTCTACAGCAAAATTTACGAGTTGTGGAAAGGTGGTGCAAAGGCGTTGAGTTAAATATAAATCCAAGCAAGAGCACTTTAGTCGCCTTCACCAGACGCAGAAGCAGGGACAGATTAACGAG